TCTCCCAATCTCTCCTAAATCTCTCCCAAATCTCTCTTAAAATCTCTCTCAACTTTTTATAGTCAACCGGGTCATCCTGGCCCTTAACGTGGCCAAAAATCGCGCAAAACGGGAAGTTAAATTGAAAAATAGCCATATAGGACCGAAGCTCCTATTAGGACCGAAGCCCCATTAGAACCGAAACCTAAGAACCGAAGCCAGTCAGAGCTGAAACCTCCCTCTTGCACCCGAAATAGACCGAACTTCGGTCTATTTCGCTTCTCTCGCACCTTCGGTTCCTTCTCCTTCCTTCGGTCCCTCCTTGATCTTACTCTCGGTCCTCAACACCAAAGAACCGAACCTTCGCAGGTTCGCTCCTAATTCCCGGTTTTCGACTACTTTCGCCTCATAAGCCCGTTTTTGACGGGATTTTTTCACCAAATTCATATTTTTACCATTTTAAACTCCCAGAACTCGTATTTTATCTATTTCTTAAGGATTTATTAATTTAAAATCATTATTTCATTAATAGAAATATCTAAGGATATTTTTACCCCACAAGTGGGTCAAGTGTGCCCACTTGCCTCCATGTGTCACTTCCCCATTAACCCAACCCTATCCACATCACACAAACCAAGGCAAACATCACTTCAAACTTACAAGTTGCTCTAGCAACCTTCATTATATATAGAAATCCCTGGAGGATTTCTTGGCTCACTTGATCATTTCAAACACTTGCACTTCTCAAACCACCTCAAGAAAACTCTTTTCTCTCTACTTCCCATCACTTTGTGCTAGTGTTCTTGAGCTACTATTTCACTTTTGGTAAGTATTTCATCTAAAATCAAGTGTTATTCCATGTTTCCATAACATCATTGAATCACCTACACCCGTTTTAACACCAAACAAATCGTTCTTAGGATCATCCAAACTCTCACGTGCTCATCAAGTGTTCTTGACTTGATACTCCTCGTCTTCGACCTTACACTCTTCCAAGAATCACTCAAGGTGAGTTCATACCCCCAAATTTTCTAGTTTTCTTTAGTTTTCATGGGGGGGGGGGATACAAGTTAAAACACCAAAACATATTTGAAACTTAACTTGACAGCTTACAACAGAAAAGTTGTGACCTGTTCACGAACTGTTTTACCCAACTTAAACTTAATATTTTCAAAACTGTTCAATATGCAAATAGTTCAAGTGTATACCTTTAAAATGAATACTTTCACATCATCATAAGATTTTTCTAAAAATTTTGGTGATTTTTACAAAACTGCCTATCACAGCAGCAACGAAATCGGACCAGGTTGTGAAAATGAACATTTTCACACTGGTTTGGGACCACCAAAAATTATAAGAAAATTTTTGAACATATTAGACTCTTTTTCCAAACTCTCCGAGTTTACGGATTTAGTTTTCGACGTACGATGATTTTTCTATAAATAATCTAAAACGGTGGCAGTTAAGAGTTAATTTGTCAAAACAAGTTTAAGAGTTATTCACACTTTGTAACATGTTGAGCAAGGTGTGTAAGATTTTATACTTAGAATTTTCAATGTCATTTTATTGAAATACAAGGTCAAGCATAACAAAGTTTCATTTACAACATAAAACATTTTGATAAAACTATAATAGGTATAGTTTGGACACCTCATTTAACAAAGAAGTGGTAATACTATCGATATACAAAGCAAGTATTTTATTACAAAACTACGTGTGAACATGTTAATGAATAAATTTGTGAGACATTCATCTTCGGGGTACTCTTTAGTACAACAGAAAAGTCCTGTAGTTATAGCCAGAATCTCTTGTAGGGAGAGCGTGATAGTTGTATATAGATCTATATTGGGTTTGACAACCCGCACCTAAGCTGCTTGCAACAGCTAGACCGGCAGGTCTGGGGTGACAAGTGTCATAACATTCCGACGCTTGAAGAACGTCGAGTACGAGGTCTACAAGTCATAGTATGGTTATAACAACTCACATGGGGAATTAACAAACACACAGTTCACAGAAATTTATAGACTTCACAAAAAGGAGTTTTATTTAAATATAAAACCACATATAAGTATGATGATTTACTTACATATACTAAGTCTTGGTTCAGTTAGAACTACAATAAACCTTTTAGAAAATATTGGATTTTCTGGAAACAAACTTATAACAAACATTAAGGAACAACATTTATTTTTCATTCATAAATTGCTTATGAACTCACCAGCTTTATGCTGATACTCTGTTTTCAAAACAACTTGTATTCTCAGGTAATCAGTAATACAGGTAATCGCAAGATTTCTGAAGTCAAGACGCTAAGGCGTAGTTTTTGCTACATATTATCATCATATGTAATTTAATTGGAAAACATGTATTTTGGAAAACAATGTAATCTTTTTAAATTATATTTATGATGGTTGTGTTTACTTTCTTCACTATGGTTATGATACTGAACATGACGTCATCCGCCCCCGAACGTTTCCGCCGTTTCGGTTTGGGGGTGTGACATATGTCTTGCATGAGCGTAAAGTTGCAAACTTTACGTGGTATTCGAGCTTTAGGAGGTCAGATCTAGAGTATGGAGTAGCATTTCTGCCTTAAAACGTCTGAATGAGAATCTTGACTTAAGGGACTCGATGAGTCGATGAGCCGACTCGACGAGTCGGTTAGGGTTTATCCTGATAAGTCTGAGCATGTTGTAAGTCGGCGATTTGACGGGTCAACTCGACGAGTTGAGTTTGTTTCCATGAGGATTATGAGGGTAACGAGTGGACTCGACGAGTCACATAGGTGCACTCGGCGAGTCGGGTCAAACATGGACTGTTGACTCGAATTGACTTCTGTTGACTTTAGGCTTTGGTCAAACATGAGTAATGGAGACCATGGAGGGGTAAGATGATCTTTTACCCACTTCAAGAGTTAAAAAGAGGAAGAATAACCTTTGGTTTACTTGGAGTCGAGAATCAAGTATTTATTGAGATAGTTACCCTATGTGTTAGGCGATAGCTAGTTCGAGATTCGAGTGTGAGGATGATTGCTTGCTGATGAGGTGAGTCTTCTCACTATACTTACCATGAGTGGTATCTGTGAGAAACCGGAGGGTCTTATGTGTTTACTTGAGTTATGCATGCATCTTACCTATGTGATATATATTCTATATTATGTGTTATTGAGACCGGACCGAAGGGTCCAACGAGCCGAGAGACCAGAGGGTCCTCACTGAGACCGGACTGGAGGGTCCAACGAGCAGTGAGTGGAGGGTCCTCACTGAGACCGGACTGGAGGGTCCAACGAGCCATAGCTGAGAGGCTTATTATTTGTGTATGTGGTATTTTGGGGAACTCACTAAGCTTCGTGCTTACCGTGTTATGTGTTATGTGTTTCAGATACTTCTCATGATCATGGGAAGGCACCGACTTGATTGTACACACATCGGAGATAGAATTATATCGAGAGGATCCTGGAGTTTTGATATATACAGTTTTTGGATATGAGATTTAATGATTTTGACATTGTGACATTTTGTGATTTTATAATTGAGATAAATGTGTTTTTAAATTGAAAATTTTGTTTTGAAAATTTACGTCGTTACAATTTATATATATTTTTTGCATATTTATGTATTTTTTAGTTTTCTTATATAGATGTTTATGTATTTTTATTTATATTAAATGTTTAATTGTATTATTTTTACGTAATAAATATATAAACACATAAAAATAATACAATTAAACATTTAATATACATAAAAGTACATAAACATCTATATAAAATGCTTAAAAAATACATAAAAATATGTAAAATACTAAAAAAATAGATATAAATACATAAAAAATACGTTTATAGACTTAAAATACATAAACATCTATATAAAAAGTTTAAAAAATACATAAATACGTAATAAATAAAAAATATGTAAAATACGTGAAAAATACGTTTATAGACTAAAAATACATAAATATCTATATAAAAAGCTTAAAAAATACATAAATACGTAATACATAAAAAAATATGTAAATACGTAAAAAAAATACGTTTATAGAATTAAAATACATAAACAACTATATAAAAAGCTTTAAAAAAATACATAAATACATAAAAATATATAAAAATACATATAAATACACAATACATAAAAAATAACACATAAAAATACTTAAAAAATATGTAAAATGGTTAAAAATTCATATAAATAAGTAAAAATATACGTTTATACATTTAAAATACATAAAAATACGTAAATATATACATATAAAAACATAAAAAACACACAAATACGTAAAAATAGATATAAATATGTAAAAAAAATATGTTTATACATTATATAAAATTTTTGACAAAATCTGCAAAAAAAATCTCATTATTTTCAAAAAATTAACAATTTGGTCTCATGACCGAACAGGTCAAAAATGGCTAAAATTAATAAATTAGCCGGTTTCTTAGGTTTTTCTATTCAAAAAATGAAAAAATCGGGACTTTTTTATTCAAAAAATAAAATTTAGGATTTTATTAAAAATTTGCACAAAATATTGGGACTTGTTTTGGAGATATCCCCTAAAAGTCTTGAAAAAGTGGTCGTTTTTACATTTGTAACCCTTAATATATGAGTGGAAGTGGAACTGAAACCCGTTAGGAAATCGAAACGTTGACCACTTGAGAGCGATATACTGCCATAATTGTGTGTTCTCTTTCACGTCTTGTTTTCTTCCTCCACCGATTGACTTGCTGCTCTTAGATAGTGTCCTCCACCGTTTCTATTAGGCCAAGAACATATTCGTGGTCTATGTGGCCAAGAACAAAAAATGTGAACACCACCCCTTATTTTTAGTGGTGGCTAGTGGTGGAAAAATTCTTTGTCAAATGTAATGGGGAGAACAACAAACAACATTCAATAAACTTTTTTCTCTCTCCATGCCTCTTATCTCTCTACATTTTAATTAATTAAAATATATATCTTTTTAATTTAAAAATAAAAAAATAAGAAAAAAATAGTGGTGGGTATCCGATTTAATGGTTGAACGTGGTGATGAGACAATATAATGGGAAAATTTCCATAGTTTATTGACCCACTCCTCCATTCATCGCCGACTTTTGATTTCAGTTCGATTACACGCTGATTTCGATCTTCCACCGCTTCCTTTCCCACCGCCTCTAAATCGATTGGAAAATTGATGCCGACTCTCTTCATCGCTTACCGCTACATCATCTGCCCACAATCGTCGCCCAACACCATCGCCAACCGGTACCTGCTTCTACCATATTCACACCGTCTCCACCACCGATGGCTATCAAATCCACAAAAAAATTTCATCTGAATCTTCTTTGGAAGGTCAGTTACTCGATTTTAGTAATTTTTCTTAATTATTTTCAAATCGGTTGAAAAGAATTCGATTTTATTCAGTGTTATTTTTTGTATATATTGATTTTGTTTTTTTTTCGTTTGATTTCAATTTGATTTGTTACACATACGAAATTCCTAAAGTGAATGAACATTGGTAGGATTATATCCTTGCGTTCGAAGACGCATCACTGAATGCACATAAATAATGATTCAAGTATCCAATTTTGTATTATATATGTCAAATATTATATTAGTTTTGTATTGCTTGTAGTGGTTTGATTAACACGTTTGATACTTTGATCGAATTACACTATGTTTTGCATCGTAGTTTAATCAATTCATACAGATACATGGGGAAGAACATGAAGAGGATGAACCATAAAGGCGGTGGTAGCTAATTCTTTTCAAAGGTTTCTTCCAATTTCGTTCTATATGTAGTTTTAATTATTTGGTTTGAAATTGGGTTAACAGATTTCATAAATTCCATAGGCTTATGTTTAATTAGCTCTCTCTATTGCTGTTGGACTAACCTCTTAAGGGACAATCTGGTCAATGTCATTCGTGTTTCTCCCAGCAAATCCATTGGAGTGGAGAAAATGCATAAAGGGAGCAAATATGTGTTGTTTCTAGATGATGATGTCAGGCTGCATCCTGCATCAGTTGGAGCACTCACTGCAAAGATGGAAAAGAGACCTGAGGTATAATCACTATGATTATTCTGGCATCAACATCATCCTGCACACATGTAAATATAGAAAGAAAAAAAAAAAATACAAAAAAAAGAAAGAAAAATTTGAAATAAGTAACATGTTTTTGTTACAAATATTGAACATACCTTAAAGTCTAGGGGTAATCGAGATACAGCATGATAAGCTTAATCTTCAATGTTATCCACAACAAATAGGAACTCCAAGGGGCCACCATAAAGGGAAATTAACTGTATGTAGAGATCCATTATCCATAATCCATATATTATCAATTATCATATGTACTAATAAAAAAATCAGAATAAAAAAAATATATCTCCAGCTTCAAAGTTCAAAGTAACACCTGTGTTCTCCAGTTGTGCAGATTGTGTTCACCGAAGCCTTTCAAGGGCATTTCAACAGTAACACCTGGCAATTCCATCTGTTTTGAGTGCTCAAGATCATGTAGATCATGGCTAAGAAATGCAAACTCATCCCCATCTTTCATACACTTCTTCATATGTCTTATTTCTCTGTTTTTGCAAGAGAAAGAATATTGTTTGATCAAGTTTCAAATGAGGTTAGCCTCCACCAATGTTTTCTAAGTTCTTAGGATCCATACAACAAATGCAATCATGTTCCAGGTCAGAAGTACACAGAAAGCTAGAATCTTTACTGCATCCTTAGATTTTTCTTTGAATGTTGAACAGCAATGATTCCAATTATGTATTTGAAGGCCTGATTGAAAAGGTGATACCCTCAATGAACTTCAAGAGTACATCAATTCATTAACAATAATTAAAATGGTCTATAGTACTGTAGTTTCATTTTCACTAAAAATTACATCTAATTACAAGTTTGAATTTATCTCATGTTTTCATAGTGTTGCTGCGAGATTGGCAGAAGAAATGGGAGTCATACTTGGGGAGGAAGTTGGTTATACTATTCGATTTGAAGATGTCACAAATTCACTAAGACTTTATCTGAAGCTCAATAAATGATACAATTTATGCAATAATACTTGGTCTAAACACAAGAAATACCAGCAAACTTTTGTTTATTTGTGTATATTATAGCATAATACCTTTATTTCTTTCTATTACAACATTGCACCTTCCTTTTTTTCATATTAGGGCGTTGTACTTTGGCAATTACCTAATTACAACATTGCACTTTCTTTTTTATTTTTTTATTTTTTTTTATAGTTAATGGTGAGTCAAATGTTGTTTCAATAACTGTCACCAAAGAATATGGTGAGACAAATACCTAAAATAACTACTGATTTTTGGTTCTTAGTTCTTACTGCAGTTCAAGTAAACCCAATGATAATAGATATAAATTCAAAGACCAATAGCATCATAGTTCTACAACTATAACTGCATTATGAGATTACTTTCGTCATTGAATGATAGATTCAGTTGACATACTTTACTGGCCTTCTATCTTTTTTTTTTTTTTTTTTTTTTTTTTTGTATGATTCATTTGTGGGCAAAGAATGATAGATTCATTTGACATCTCTTATAGATTACAGGAAATGTCTGTTTTATCGGCTAATTTTATGGAAGGTTGACATGTATCAAGTTATTTGCTTGCAAAACTGGGTCTGGATGGATTTAATTTTGGAATTACCTTGGTCAAGAAGAAGTAATATCTTCTATTACATATAGGTGTGCGGAAGAAGGGTGAAGTGTTGCTGGACTGTTATACATCTCAACCCAAAAACATTTCCAATTTTACCCTTGGGTTTGGAGCAGCTTCAAGTGTTTTTTCACCTGCTGGAATTTTGGGACTATAGTTATAGTTAGATAATGTTCTGTTTCTTAAACTTCAAAGATGCAGTGCAGGCTTTGTTTTATATATTTTTTTAGCATTGTACATGCCAAGAAATCTCAAACACAACAGTTAAGAGTTTGTTAACACATGCTCACCATGAACACAATTAGAAATATTAGAATTTAGAACATTCAAATTGAATGTGTGGCTAGTAGCATTCTATTTTCATAGAAAAATACTTTTGTTTTTGGTCGAATATGGCATCCTATTATTATAACCCCGCAAAGCGCGGATTCTTCACTGGTTTAGAAACATGTAATAAGTTTAATAGCAATTTTTAATTTTCCTTTATCTATTTTGCTTTAAAAGTCAACTGTTTGTTTCAACAAAGTCAATGCGAATAGTAATTGGTAGAGCATCTCCATTTTTATACTATCGTACCCATGATTGACAACTAACCCGTCTATGGCTTCATGCCCAGATACATATGTATGTATGTAGTATGGTTTTTAAATTTGTACATCCAGAAAATGGTGTATATAATATGTAAAACAAAAATTGCATTGACATATCGTTTATTGATCCATATCATTTTTATGTTAGTTAATACATGGATATTTTTTTTTCGTATCAAGGTATGAAACTATATGCAATGAGGTAACAAAAACACTACAAATATATCAGAGAAAGTCGAGGTCTATCTTTGACATAATTTTCTTAAAATAAATCCGTCCCAAATTTGGCATATGTTTCTTAGATAAAAACGGTTTACAAACCACTAGTAATTTGGGGTGATACCAGATAAATCCTACAATAGTATATGGAGAAGAGAGGAGAGGGTTATATTTTTTTTCGTGCCTCAAAATGGTTCAACTCTCACAGTGGACATAGGTGGAATTAATAAACAGTTTAAAAATAGATTAAATTTGCGGTTCCAAAAATAAATAAATAAATAAATAAAAACATTGGAAATTTTACACAAATCGATAATTGAAATTGTGTTTAATTTATGTCTTAAAACATCCCGTTGAAAAAATTGCTACTAATTTGTCGGTTACGGAAAATAAAAAGAAAGAAATTTCATTAAAAATAAAAAAAATAAATAAATAAATAAATAATTTGTAAGAACTAACCTTAAAAAATAATATTTCAACCTTTCAAGACTCATTCAACCGCCATTATTTGTTTGAAGTTAAATATATCACATCAAAGATATAGCGGAGAACAACACAAATATGCAGTTATATGTCCATTTCATGTCTGGACAAGAATCAGAATTTGTGATTCAAAATTAAAAAGCCGAAACCATTTTTTTTAAAACGGATAAACTTGGTTTTCCAACAATAGTAAGTTTCTGATTTTTGTTTAATCAATCATATATTTAAGTTCTCAGTAATGCATTAAGGGATTTTCTAATGAGAAATTAAATGCTGACATGTGAATTAAAATACTATCATTTTCATTAAATGTGTCATTAAATATGACACATGTCAACATTTGATTTGGTAGGAGGATAAGTAGAAAGAAAATATAAGAGGATATTTAATTTCTCTTTTCTAATATATGCCCTAAGGGCACATATAAGAAGTATTAATTAATCACAATTATTATCATAATTAAATGTTAAGCACATTAATTAAGAAATATTACCATAATTAAATATAAAATTCATTAATAATCTACATAATTAATGCATTTCACATTTAATTATGGTAATGATTGTGATTAATTAATACTTCTTATAATGTCATGTCTATTTAACTAGTAACATAAACTGTCCATTGTGAACATAATTTGTCTATATGATATTTACAGAAATTGAGATAGAAATAGTTTTTGCTTAATATTTTTATCAACTAATTGCAGCATAACTAAGCTAACAATAGAATTTATAATACTCTCTCCTCCCGAAATTATAGTCCATATTTCCTTTTTGGTTTGTCCCAAAATAATAGTCTACTTCTAAAAATAAATAACATTTTGTGGTGCAACCACCACTTCAATTCACATACCGAAGGAGAAATGCAAAGAAAGGACAAGAAAAGAGGGGACCACTGCCCAACCCATAAACACTACAGGATTGGTAAAGGAGCAGGGGCAACATGGGAATTGAGAACAAAATGATGTCTTTCATGTTTATTTAAGGTAGTGGAATTCACATGAGGAGGCAACCGAGAATATTGGAAGTTTCTTTTTCCCTTGGGAGTCGGTAACAGCTCGAATTGCTACTATTTATCTTAATTTTTGTGTTGTTGCTTTTGTGGTGCTCTTAGTCTTGTTATTATTGCCAATCATTCCAAAAAAAAAACAGCAATATAACAATGGTCTGTAAGAAAATTCTTACGGTTTGCTAGTTAATTCATTACAAATTAGTATCAGAGCACGTCCATCCTGGATAAGAAGAATGGTTCCACCAAAGAATGATGTAGTGGGGGTTAAGAGTTGAGGCGATAGAGGAAGAAATTGAATCCATGAAGGAATCGATGGCCAGCTTACAGGATAACCTGAAGGCTCAACTCACAACTCAGATCGCACCACAGATGGAAGAACTTACCAAGAAGTTTACAGACATAGCAACAGAAACCATTAAAACAACCATATTTGAGTCTGGAAGCTTCATCAGAAGAGATGATGATACGCCAAAGGGAACCCCTAAGAGCGGTGGTGGCTCTGGTAGGGGTGGTGTGTAACAACCCGATATTTCAAGTCAATGTAATACTCTAGGTCAAATTGTAACTTATTTTGAAATAATAAAAATAGAAATTAATTGAGATGAAAAGTAGCGTAAAAAATGAAGTATTAAATAATCTTGATTGGGATGAATATAGTGGTAGAGATTTTAACAAGGTTTCCAAAAATATAAAGAACACTTAAATCTGAGTTATAACGAAGAAGTTATGACCAATCGAAGATCCGCGTCAAAACCGGCAAAACACTGTAAGCGTAAAAAGTGAGTTTTCAATAAAATACTTTTTAGCCTTTACTATCTAAATGAAAGTTGTAGTATACGTTAAACCGTGAATGTCTGTAAAAAGAACGTCCAAATCTGACTTCGTATGAAGAAGTTATGATTTTTCTAAGATTCGACATAGAAGTACACTGCCAAAAATTCAAAATAAAGATCAAGCAATATTTAGCTGTGACAACCCGAAATTTCTATATTGTACAAACCATTCACTTAAATCAAAGTCAGACTTGTTTCTGTTCACTTTTAGCACTGTTTAGAGTCTGTTTGAGCATTCTGAGCTTAGTACACCAAAGGAATGAGTGAAAGGAAGTGCCAATTGAAGTTGTAACCTATCAAACTAGCCATAAACCTTAAAATGAGGAGTTTACGGCCAGGGACCATGAGTTTACGGCCGTAAACTCATGGAGGCCGTAAACTTCGTGCTATATATATGGCCCTTAGTAATTTTCAATCACTTTTCACCATTTCAAGCCTAGAAATCAGATTCTCTCCCAAGGATGTAACACCCAAAGTTTGGAAGGACAAGAAAGGAAAGAAAACCTTAATTTTAAGGGGGCGACTCGGCGAGTCCAAGGAGGAACTCGGCGAGTCCGAGCGGGATCCGGGTCGAGGGGTAAGTGACCGACTCGGCGAGTCGGCCAAGGAAACTCGGCGAGTCTGGTCTGTGCGAGGAAAACCCTAAATTCGGGGCTTGGAGCCTATTTAAATGTCTCATTCTCTCCCCAAGGGTCCCTTTGCTACCTCTTTCACCCAGAACACCGAGCCCTAAGCCCCATTATTGTGTATTCAAGCTTCCAAGCCATTTTGGGTGATTTGAAGAAAGAAGAAGAAGGGGAATCATTGAAGCTTCAAGGATTGGCCTTGGATCTGAAGATTGGGGAGCCTTTCTGAGATATTGAAGGTATTAAGTCGTTTCTCTCCTTTAGATCTTCTATGGTTGTGAGATTTGGGGCTTTTAAGCCATGGTTTGTCACCCATTTGAGTTAGAAGCCGGATCTGGAGTTGCTACTTCAGATCCAAGTGTGTTATGGACTAGGGAAGCACAAAGTATCAGCCCTTGAGTCGATTTTGGAGCCTTTTGGCCTTAAACCCTAGTTTATGGTGTATTTTTCCTAGATCTCCCTCTCTACACGTAAAGTTTGCAACTTTACGTGAGGAATAGGCATGGGAAGGGTGGATCTACAGTTTGGAGTCCATGCATGACTCAAAAGTCCTCTGCATGTATGTAGATCTGAATGGACTCGACGAGTCCTTCGAGTGGACTCGGCGAGTAGCATGAAGATGAGGAGGAACTCGACGAGTGGGATGAACAACTCGTCGAGTCAGATGAAGTTGGGCACAAACTCGGTGAGTTGGAAGAACAACTCGACGAGTTGGATAAAGATTGCCTTGTACTCGGCGAGTCTGCTCTTTGACTCGACGAGTCAGGTCGCGAAGCCCCAAACCCTTCGAGTTGAGACTCGAATCAGTGAGTCGGGTGGAGACTCAGCGAGTTGGACAGGTCAGGACTCGGAAATCGTTGGACTCGGCGAATCATGGACTGACTCGGCGAGTCGTGTCGCGAATGGAAGGACCCTGAGCATATGAACTCGGCGAGTCAGTAAGTGGACTCGGCGAGTAGGGTTGACCTGGAAGGTTGACTTGGACCAGGACTTTGACTTAGACTAGAATTGACTTGGTTGACTATCGGGGGTCAGTTAGACTAAGTGTTGCATTGATATTGATAGCTCGGGGAGCTAGTAGAGCAGGAGTTCAGTGAGTTGCCGGGCAGCAGCTAGTGGGATCATCAGCGAGTTCAGCCAGTGCAGGTGAGTTTCCCTTTGTGTGAATGGGTCTACGGCCATAATGCCGGCACATGTAGTTATGTGTAGAAGACCCGGGGGTTAGCCCTAGGCATAGCATGCTAGTATCACATTCAGGACGAGGTCCAATGATTTATGTGTAGAAGACCCGGGGGTTAGCCCTAGGCATAGCATGTAGTTATGTGTAGAAGACCCGGGGGTTAGCCCTAGGCATAGCGGGCGGGTGCCCCAGGAATGATTTATTGATAGTTTATACTTGTTGTCTGTGTGATACTTGTATGTGCCTGGTAGAGGGGTGAGTGTGGGCGAGGTCCCGTATCTCACCAATAGCAGAGTGTGGATGGTGTTCCACATCTCATTAGCAACAGATCAGGGGCGAGGCCCAAGTTAGGAAAGAGTGAGTGTGGGCTGGGCCCGTAACTCACTATCGGTAGGAGCATGGACGGGGTTCCGTGACTCATCAGTAGCAGGATAGGCGAGGCCTTTGGACAGAGTCCGTTAGCAGGTGTTTAGCTTATGTGTTGTGATATGTTTATGTGCTATTATGTGTTAGCGGGCGAGGCCCTTGACAGGCGGGGCCTAAGTGAAACAGATCTGTATCCGAGCGGGGCTCAAAGCCAGGCGGGGCCTGGAGCGGCGGAGCCGTTGTAGCGGGCGAGGCCCGAGGTAGGGGGCGAGGCCCAGACTAGCGGGCGTGGCCCAGTATGTGCAGTATGTGGTTATTCATGGTATGTGGTAGGGTGGGGAACTCACTAAGCTTCGTGCTTACGGTTTCAGTTTTGGTTTCAGGTACTTCTGGTAGCTGATGATGGAGCTCGGGGTGATCGCATGGCACACACCATAGATTAGTCAGCCTGGGAATGTTTTACTCTGATAATGAACATGTGTTTTGAAAACTATTACTTTGATTATGCTTTGAATCGATGATTTTACTTTAAGTAATATTATATTAAAAGAAATTTTTAGTCTTGAATTTTGGGACGTTACAAGTTGGTATCAGAGCCTTGGTTTGAGGGATTCGGGCGTGCTCTCGAGTGTGTCTGAACTCAAACTGAGGAATTGGTATAAAAGTTTTCAAAATGGAAAGACAGTTTTGTAAAAAGAGTTTTGAGAAAGAAAACGATTTTAGAAAAGCAAAAAGAATTCAGAAAGAAAAGAACTTTGAAAAGAGAAAAAGGGTGTGGTGCATGCAATCAGCCGAGCTCAAGTAAGTACCCCAAATTACCCATACAAGTTTATGATTTGATTATCAGTTAGTAGAACAGCATGCTAGAATAGGACTAAGGATCTAGGGAGGATGCCTTATGTGCCTGATTATGTGCTTCGAGCTGCATGATAGTGCGGGTTAGACAGTAGTAGGATAGCCTGTTTAGGTTATGTCTGAGTTATGAGTTTGTGTTGCATGCTAGTTCAGATTCTTGCTATGTGGATATGATTTCTTGAGTATGTTAAGGTTAGATTTTCCCTTGTTCGAATGCTGCTTGCTTTGTGCATTGTGGGATTTTGAGTGATGGGAGTTAGCTATTAGGTGGATACGCCACGTCACATGTGATCAGGGTTGAATAATCTCAGAGTGCTGGATTTGGCCCTATTTCGCAGCTCTTGTTTGAGTCCAACCGTTGTAGGGACGAGTCTTTTACTTGAAGGATTATCTGAGCCTCATCACATTTGATGGTATCCAGGTGATGGCTAATTGGCATCGCGAGGAGGCCTTCAGCAGCTGAGGACTGGTTTGAATTGAGTTAGAGGTTTCCCTAGGGTAAGCCTAGGATGAGGTAGTGCTGGGAGCAGAAGTAGTAGAAAAGGGACCTGGTGGAGTCAAGGCAGTTCTTGAGGAAAGTACGGATAGATGTGGAAGGTAGTATGGGCCCGTACTACTGAAAGCAGAGGATCCGTACTCGATTCGGGAAAGGCCGAGACAAGACTGGGAACCTGGTAGTGCGTGTGTTTGGTCTCGCAGCAGTGATGAGTATTCTGATAGTGATTGTGTTATAAGTGCAGCATGGTGACGTTGCAAGAGAGACCAGTGGGTGGATCAGACGCCGGAGAGGGAACAGGCTCGGGTTCAGGAACTGAGCAGCTCGAGGAGTGGGTGAGGGAGTTGATATCAGCTGAGGTTACGCGCAGCATACTAGACCAGACTCATGTGATCTTTGGCACGGTCAAGGAGGGTATACTGGAGATCTTGGATGAGAGGCTGGGAGCCTTCCGTACCGAGGTGATGGCTTTGATGGGAGCTCGCACTTTGACATTCCGAGAGTTCAGGGCCTGCGGGGCACCAGATTATCATGGGGCTAGGGACCCCATTACTAGCAATAGATGGTTGGCTGATGTTGCCAACGCGTTCCGTACGAGCCAGTGTCCCGAGGGGGACAAAGTCAGACTCGCCTCCTGTCTTCTAAAGGACAGAGCGAGGGATTGGTGGGAGGAGATTGGTCATGCCATTGGTGATGATGCCACGTTGGACGTGATGTCTTGGAGCGATTTCTCGGCCAGGTTCAGGGCGGAGTTTTCGCCAATTATTGAGGTGCAGCAGTTGGCTCGGGAGTTTCAGGATTTGACGCAGACTATTGAGACTGTGGCGGAGATCACCGCCAAGTTCAGGGAGAGGGCTCTTCTTGTACCGCAGTACGTCGCGGATGAGGAGATGAAGAAAGCCCGATACCACGAGATGTTGAGGGTTGACATCAGGGAGTTCGTGAGCAGGTCCGGCTGCAAAACGTTGGAAGATATGATTTCTCGGGCCAGAGAAAGGGAAATTGATTTGGAGCAGATCCGGAAGAGGATGTCGGATGAGGTTCAGGTAGCTGCGGGTTCGGGCAAAAGGCCCAAGGGATCGGATTCGAGATCGAGGGATTATCAAGACCGCAGTCGGTGCGAGAAGTGTGGCAGGACGCACGGGGGCGCGTGCAGGAGTGGT